AAGGAAGCTGTTAAGAAGAGGCTTGCACAAGTATTACCTTTGGTTTGGGAGACAATTCCTGAGGGATTTTGTGAAAAGTTGTGGAAACCAATGCCTGGTAGAGTAGCTGCAGTATTGGAAGCAAGGGGAGGTTATACAAAGTACTAGCTAGCCTTATTTATTATTATTTTACTCTAAAATATATATAGCAGATAATTGATCATTAACCGTTGATCATGGAGATGTGGTAGTTGAGGGTTTATTGTATACTCATGTCGCGGGAGCGCTGTTGATAACCACATCTCACGGTATCATGGCACCACCCCATTTAAGCATGTTTCAGATAATGAACACTTTTGACGAGGCACTGTACCTTAGCTAGTCTTGGAATAGTTTATCTAATTCTAAAATTATACATTTTCTCTTTTCAGAAGCCTTGGTAGTATATTGTAGATGGACCAGATGTACCAGAATATCTAAATATAAAGTCAAATCTTTGAGCTACTATAAGTTTTATTTTTTCTGTTACTCCTTGTACTAGGACTTTTGTTCTTTATGCTATAACCATTTTTTCTATCAGAATATGTGGTTTTCTTAGCATTAATTTGGTCTTCTGACTAACACAATTTAGACAGGAGTCTAGGTTTAGGTTTTGCCTCAGTTGGCTACTTTTGGACAAACCCAAGTACCTTACTTTATATAGAAATGTAAATATAAAGGAGATATCATAAGAGAAAATAGGAAAACTTATAAAAAATTTGAAACTACTTAAAAGATGGTTACCAAATGATAAGAGACATATATGGTAACAAATTATAAATTGAAAGTACACTAGTTGGCTAGACCTTCCAATAGATATCATAGTTAGATGCTTATATATCGATAATCAAAAGAGCCTTTGCTCCAATAGCTGTATTACGGATACAATATCCAATCCAATTGATTCTCAACAAAGTCGTAAGCCTTCCAAGAAGTGAGGCTTTTTTTCAATATATGATCTTCAGACCAATTGTGATTGAAATTTAATAATACATACAAGTTGTCTGCTCTTTTAAGCTTTAGTGATGATGAGGAACTAATGGCACTATATGAAATCTCTATGAATATATGTAAGTATTTCATTACTCTGAGTATCTATCAACTACAGCTAGAGATTTGAAACTTATTTCATAAAACTAATAGGTGAGCAAGATTATGTTTTATGCTTTTGATTCTTCAACTCTACTGTTTAGCCCTTATGGTATTTCTTGCATTTATATCTTCTGAAGAATACATTCTAGTATGATTGTATACTTAGACCCGTTTTTTTGGTTATGCTGGGCCTATTTTATTGTCACATACAAATGACAACTTATCTTCAAACTTGAAATGGGGGAATTGAACAACTGTTTGACAATAGTGAAAGGCAGCAACCATTGCACTTAAATATAGTCCTAATCCAATGATTACAATATAAGTGTATTATATCTACATATTTATAATAATAAAATATTTCCAACATGTGGTCCTCAATTCTAATCACTATTATCAACAATTGTCTCGGAATATAAACCAATAATAACTGCATTCATGCAGTTATTATTTGATGACAGATCAAAATTGTAATTTCTACATCACTCCCAGTCAATCTCTTCCTCTCTGTATAGTTTGTACATATTTCAAGTGTTACTGGTTACTATTATACTAATACAATCCACTGAGCCTATTGGAGTTCAATGATGGAGCTGCTTTATATGCCAATTACTACTTTCCTAACTTTTCATGACTAGATTATCCAATGCAGTTTACTATTACCTACTTAATATATAAGTATTAAAGAGCAGCTAGTTATGTTTTTATGTATTATAGGCAATAGGTTATCAAATAGGTAAGCACAGAAGGAGGTTCAGTACAGTGAAGAAACAATTTCACAATGAAGAAAGACTTAACCTAAATCTTAGTGAATAATTGTGTAATTTATCTAATATTTTTATTTATTAATAATAGCCTGTTCTGCTCCTATTTCATTTTGCTCATAGTTGGTAAAAGCAAGTATGACAAAAAAGTAAACATGACACGCTAGCTGTTTTTTATTTTTATTTTTTCTACACCAAAAAAGAGGCTCCTACTAGCCTGCAGCAACTGACCCAACGCTCTCACTTAAAGGAAACAATACAGTTAATACTGAACATCTCTTTCTCGATCTTATAAGACAAACTAAGGTACATTCTGGCTTCCTTATTGCCATTCAGACAATCCAGATTCAAGTCCAGCAGCTGGCCATATGTTTAGGATACCAAATTCAAAAACATGGCAGAATGAAGAGGTTGGAAGTTAAGCAGCAATTAGATCGTAGCATGCAATGGCTGGAGAAACAGCAAACTGAGAAAGCTTCAACTGCCACTATTATCTTCAAGTTAAGGCATCATCTATACGAATGTGTCAACTTCTGACCAGTTATCATGACCTTAATTCATGTGTAACTTTCAACCGCCATGGTGGAAATAATTTGATTCCAACCAGTTCCCCTCACAGTAATTCACAATGGGCTTAGGAGCTATGCCATCAATCATAGATGCAGCTATTTGTAGCTTGCATCGGCAGGAGAAACGAAATCAACAACCCTTATCTGGTTTTGCAATTGATCAAAGAAGTATCGAGGGCCACACATTATTAAAATAACACCAATTGCCCCAGTCCAAGTTACCACAGATTTTGAGCAGTATTGAAAAGCCTTCTTTGCCTAATATCAGAATATATTATCAGAATATATTATCATGCATGCCAAATATATCTACAATTTAGATGAGTCTGGAGTTTGAATTGGCTGTCCTACCAGGAAGATTATTATTGTTCCCATAGAAGCAAATGAACAATATACTACCAGTCCCAAAAACAGCCACTCTCTTACAATCATTGAGGCAATCTGTGCTGATCAAAGTGCTCCTCCACTGCCAGTTGTTATCTGTCCCAGGTAGAAGATTATGGAGAATTGAATTCAGGATAACTTGACAGAAGTTGAGACTATTACCATTTTGGAAACCTGTTATAACAGAGAGCATTGCACTTGCCTGTCTTGACCACTTCATCAATTATATTGATGCAGGGCCTGATAAGCACTCGCTTGCTCTTCTCCTTGAGGGTCATATTACTCACAATCAAGTTAATTTTGTTATCAAATACCGGAAGAACCACATTGTTCTCATTGAATTACCCTCTTATCTCACCCATGTCCTACAACCTTTAGATTTTAGTTTCTTCTATCCTTAGAAGTACTACAATAACATGGCTATTCACAATACTCTCCACTTACAAGATATCAAATGTACTATATCCTCCTTCTTTCACGACTTGAGCTCTATCCATGAGCAAACCTTTTAGCCATTTACCATTCAAAGCTCCTTTAAACAAACAGCAATATTCCCAGTATCATTCAAGAAAGGCTTAAAGTACATGCAGCATTCTAACAAAAAGGAAAAAGGGGTTGCAAATCTTCTCCCCAATTCAGTTGGCAGCCGAGGAGATGGTAATAATCACACTGGTGTATCAGTTGATGAGGTGGCAGACTTGGAACTTCTAATACTTCCTAACACATATTGTAACTATCAGAAAAGGCTTAGTCAGTAGCTTGAGCATGCAGAAACCTTTCGTCCTTCTTCAAAAAAACAGTTTTCAATAATGGGCTTAAGAGACCCAAGTGGTACTTGCCCAAGCTGAACTCCAAAGAGAATCATATCACAATATCCAAACCAGAGTTCAGAAGAAGAAAAAGTGTAAAAGCAAGTCCTACAGGATTGTTCGATTAGGTAGTATCATTACTGTTACAGCTGCAAGACAAAGAAAGAAAGAAAATAAGGAGTAAGAGAAGGTAGCAGCAATTAAGAAGAATCACAAGAATATCCAAGTTGCAGTGAATAAAGCTAAAACAGCTCTCAATCACAGTTATATTGATACTTACAAGGTGGAGAAGCAAAGAAGGTAGCAGGTCAGGAATATTCTAACAAATGGGAGAATTGTTCCTGCTAAGCTACAAATACCAATTCATCATTCAGAGAACAATCTTAGTACTCAAGATCTTGAGTCACTGGGAGCGTCTCCTGATCTCTTGCAAGCTCTCTTGCTGCTAGAACTTCCATCTGTTTGTTCTTCTAATATCATTGAAACTCAATTGCTAGCTCTTAGTAGTAAAGTTGAAAATGGACATACAGGCAAAGGGAGGCCAGAAACTAGTAACTCTGAAGATTATTCTCCAGATTTGGGCAGTGAATCAGACTCTGGTTCTTCATCTTCATCACATGACTCAATTACTAGAAATGCTAACTTTGTAGCATTCAATTAAAGTTGTGGTTTACAACCGTTGTTATGTAGAACTCTAAAAAATAAAAATATAACTAGCATGGCACACTTGCTTTTCCATCACACTTGCTTTTACTGTCTATGAGCAATACGAAATAGTTGGGGAACCGGCTATTAACTAGTTATTTTAGGAGAAATTCTTTGAGTGACTCTAAGGTGAAAATATTGTCACTTAACTAATCACATGTTTACCTAGTGTGAATGGCCTCCAGTGGGCAACCATTTCTACCCACTCAATCATTTCAAACTGGAACGGTCGTAAATGGGCCCAGCACAACCAAACAGGGCCTTAGAATTTATCTTACCATAGAGAGCCCCTGTTTCACTTTATAAGGGATTTTTCTTTAAGACTTGAACTTGCTCTACTATTTCCCCTTTATTGGTATTCTCATATTTGTTTTGCTTTGGTCAAAAATTAATCGAGTTGTTACCTTTTTTAACTTGCGTCACCTGTTGTGAAATAGCCCGTTCCTGTATCTCATCTACATGTAGGGGAATTACGTTATACTTCTGTTGACCTCATGCGGTCTGGGGCGGCATCCTTGTCCACCGTCAAACTGGTGACCTCTTGGTAAGAATCACGATGCGCTCACCCTGAGGCAAACCTTTTCAGGTGTTTCCACACGTGGTTCCGCTAGGTGCCCCTGCGATGATCGTTTATAAGGAGCGACAGAATCATTGTGGTGGTAGTTTAAAGCCACTGGAATTTAGATATTGAAAAGCAACCTCTGAAAACTACGAATCCGTCCCCATCTACAGTGCCGTCCAGCCATCGTCTCGACCATAGCACGCTTCCTTTTCACTTATCCCAGTTTTTGGCGACCATTCCATCTAGTTTAAAATCAGTACACAATCCTCTATGCTAAGAAAAAGCACCACCTACCTGGAGGGCTTGTTTCGACCCTAGCTTTTCCGACCTCATGCCAGTTCGTGCTCAGAGCTGTACCATTACTTTCAACATAGCTCTTCATCATCGCACGTCTGGTATCCTCGTCGGCGTCTTTGTATAGCTTCTTGAAGAAATGGTTGACTGGATCTCCTCCCTCGTAGTCACTATCGTATTCTGCACCTTCGGGGTCTTCCTCGTCATTGTCATCGGTGGTTCCTTTCTCCGGTTTGTCCTTTTGGGGACGAGAAGTGAGATCGTTAGCAACTTTATCCCAATCCTTGGGACCCTTTTTTGAAGACGTTGGGTACATAGGCAAGGCTGCCTTTGGTTCACCTGCCATCCCCACGGAGGCCTCGCCAGCTCCTAGTGCACTTGCAGACTCTGGTGCCTCGAGACCACTCCATTTACGGCCCTGATGGGCTTTTGCAAGCTTAATCTCAATTTTTGTTGAAAGGATCGAAAAACCAGATGTCATAGGATCTATCTTGTCAAAGAGAGGGCTGACGTCGAACGTCCATTCGCTTCCAGTGACCAACGGGAAAGCGACCGAGACCTTTGATGGTCAGAGAACTGTTTAGTTGGTGAGAACAAGACCCCCACTTACAGATTCGCTATTAATCTCTACCGTGGTCTTATCTTTAGGCACTCCTTTGACGTAGATGGTGAGGACTACCTGGGAGGCTGTCTGATACCATTCGTGGCGAATCCTGCTTGCAGGAGTACTAACTCCTAGTGCAGGCGGCAGGGGTGCACTGGCAGATGCAACCTTATCGTCCCAGGAGCGGCTCGCGGGTGTAGGTTCCTTTCGTTTTTCCGGTATTGGCACCTCGGCGTCAGGCACCTGGGAGACAGTGACCTCCCGCGCAGGGTCATCATCATCGAGCTTGGAAAGCTGTATCTCAATCTTGTTTTTCCAGATACCGATAAGATTCCTTTCTTTCTCCCCAGCAACCTTCTTCTCCGCTTCTGCAATGCAGAACGCGGCGTCACCGAACCTCTTCTCCATAAATAAGGAAACTCCTCTACGAAGTTGAGCACCGCTGATGAGCTCTCTCTTACCACGCTTGTAGCCCAGAACCACGGCTATTTCCGCATCCTTAAGAGCGTTGATGTAATCGGAGGAGCGCTGATAGGCTGTGGAGCGTTTGATGTAATAATCCGGGGACTCGGGTGTTTGTTGCAGAGCTTGAGTAAATAGATCAATTGCCTGAGAGTAATCCTGGGAATTCAAAGCTTTCAGGCCCTGTTCTGCGAGCACTGCAGAGGAAGACATGATTCGGCTATAAGGGTTCCTCTGTTTTGGCTGGGTTAGACAAGAGGGTTTTCTGGGGAAAGATGGAAGGATGGTGCTTGGAGCCACTGTGAGAGGTGGGTCTTGACAGGAGGCTTGGACCAGCTCCCCAGTTGGATAGGGCTGGAAATCACTATAGCCTTGTCGAATGCGGCAGCGCCCCACACACTAAATTTATTGATCAGTAACACAATCTCCCAGGACCCCAGCGCGGTGCCAGTATTCTTAAAACAGGTCATCTCAACATTTGAAACTCGGGTATGGGAGCAAAAATCGGGTTCTCCAAGTAACCTTGTCGTTAATAAGAAGCCTTGAGTGAGCAAGAAAAGCATAAAAGATCGGCAAGTCAGAGTCCCCAAGAACCCAGACTAGCACTTGGCAAATAACATGGGACAGACGATTCTCTTTTCTTTTTTTGCTTTCTATATCTGAGTCTGCCAAGTTCGATAAGAAATTGGCTTATCATGGAATTGGAACTTGAACTACCGTACTGGTATATAACTGCTGGCTTCCAAGGTCATTTTGTGCAACTGCTCCAGGATTTTGAATTCCTCTAGACCACTGTCCTGTTTTTTTTTTTTACCAGGATGTCGATTGCACGATTCCCGTGATTCCTTGCTCGTATTCACTATTTTGCTTGATTTTTACTTTCATAGCCGAGAGTACTCGAGCACAGTACAATTCATGACAGTGCAAGGGTCGAGGATATAGTAATGACATCATGCAGTATGGTGCATACAATGATTTATGCTCATAGTATACCAGTACCGGAACTAGAGTAAGGTAGAGCAGCTGCGTTACAAAATGTATGCCACATGTAATTAGTGTTAGGATCACATACTTTACCAGAGACTCAAGTGTCCAGGCCCGAAGTGGTTGGTAGTCTTATTATGGTATACGCTAGTGTTTATTTTGTTTCTCTAAATGCATACTCGTAGCCATATTCTATTCCTTTTCTCCTAAGTTCCATTTAATTTTTCCCAAAATACAATTACGTTTCTGCTGAATAACCCTGACCATGATTTCATACGACATTGCATTTTGCAACGCTAATGCTTTACCATATAAATTAAGTTATCGCAACTATAGACTATATCATTCCAAACAGTATGACTCGGTGCATAACTGAAATTTCAATAACGGTCTAGTAGAACAGGACCCTAACCGGATCACTATTTCTTCTTGTATCATCAATCAACTCTACAATAATGCTGTTATAATATTATCATATCATACGTAGGAACCTCATGGAGTTGGCACGTGCTCCCACTGCACATCTGCCGGGGCAAATTATTTCTATTTCGGGGTAGGCCGCCTGCAGCATCTTAGTAGTTTGAGTTAGAATCAACACCCCTACTCGATACCACTCGTTTAAGCCTGACATTTGTACTTTAGTCGAGCTAAACACTTTCCAGGGAACATGGAAAATTGCCAACAACCACAAATCAGACCGAACAGTTCTGAGCCTCTGGTACACCCTATGCTTTGTTTGAAATATATTTAATTTTAAAAATTGGAGTAGAAATGGATATATCATGATGAATCTGCGAATTTTAATAAAAAATGTTTTCATAGAAAGTTAGCCTATTTCCTTGTGCATCAGTATAGAATTTTCAAATATTTTTATGAGAGCAATTTGTTAATACAAAATCTATAATGCTATTTACATGAAAATTGGGATCTTTTGAAAAACATTTTTCAAGATGTCCGTGGTTGCTATGCAAACTAGTCTATCGGTGCCTTTATTTAACTCAAAGCGATAGAAACTCAATTTTCTTCCTTTTCGCAGAACTGCACCAATATAATAGTGGAATCACTGCATTCTGACATGCCGAACAGGGCTTAGGTTAAATCAAAATAATGAGGTGACTTACTGAATAGTGCGGGGAGAAATTTTCTCGTTAGAATTCGGAGGGCGATTGGTATGTCTGGGCGGGGGCTGCTGTTGGCGATTGTAGGGATCGTGGCTGCCTCGGTATATTGAATAATCCAAGTTTCAGACTGGAAATTAACTTAGTGTCGAGTTGTAGCCGTCCGAAACCTGGAAAGCTGAAGACCAGTGCCTATAACACTGGGGTAATCCATTGGAATATCATATTCAATGGCTACAACGGTGAGCTAGAACCCAGAAACTGCCTTGATCAACGGGCTTACAACCACGGCATTTCACAACTTTCCTAGCTTCATACACCCTCAATCTATCATGACATTGGTATCATGGCCTACCACGAAGACCCTAGAATTAACATAGAATGGTGAAGACCAGGAAGATTTGCAAATTAAGTCACAGGTAAAAATAGCGAGATCAAAACATGAGGAACGCAAGGGGTAAGGGGGAAACTTGTGATGAATGAGGGGAAAAAATGCACATGATAATTTGTGTGCATGAGAGGTCAGGCCATTGGAGACACCCGCCGTAATGGATGAATGAAAGAAAAGGGAACTCCTCCGGAAGAGACAGATCAATTATGCAGAAATTCGCAGCGGACGTTGACAATTCGTCGCCCGCTCCGGCGTGAATGGGGGCAAGAAATATTAAGAAAGCGTGATAGGCGAAATCACCTGTGACCTGCGTGTCAAGCTAGCCTAAAACACGGTTCCGTCTGACAGAATCATAATGGGGGGCTCCTTTGTATTGGGCCTCGAAACCTCAGCCAGTTCCCTTCCTCCCTATAAAAGTAAATAATTTTAGCAGAGAACCAACCAATTTCGGGAAAGTCATACCTTCCAGGTTCCGGCTTCCAGCATTTGCGCTAAACTTAGCTGCTCGCCCCCCTTCAGCTCAAGGAGATTGTTTACTTCTCCGAGCAACATATCCAAGAAGCCTAACGTGCAAGCCCTCCATTCAACAACAACGTCATCATCCGCGGTAAAAAGCGGTACAACTTCCACATTGGGTTGGCCAGCCTTCTTTGCATTCGCATGGTATGCTTTAATGCCACGTTCCATTTGGGCTGTCTTCAAAGTGAGGAGGCCAGTATCAATTAGTAGCCCACCGTTACGGTACTCTGGGAGACCAGTAAGCAGACGTTCCCCAGCCCACATTACGCCCATGAGCTTCGACATCGGAACCATCAATGAGTACGTAAGCCATTGTGTGAGTTTGTGGAACGGAACAATACGCTCCCAGCCAGGAGCCGGGGGCATAGAGGAACAAGGCCAAGCATCGCCGAGGGAGACGCCGTCAAATTGGGTCCGCGACTGAGGCCAGATTGGGGCAAGTCCATCCATCAAAACCGACCACAGAGTTGGAACAGGGATGACTGGAGTGACTCCGAACCTCTGGGTGCTTGAATGCTGCAAGAGATAGTCTTGTAATCACGTCAACTAGCGAATATCTAAGTTGAGCGGAGAAGCAATTCTTACCCAACATGTTTCCAGGGCGAGAATCTACACCAAAAAAGTCTTGGTTGTCCAAAGCTTCACCTAGTTTGATCAAAAGAGATGAACGCCCTTCAAGCCCACTCAGTGGGTTTGATTCTGAAACCTGGAGGGCCTCAGCCAAAACCTGTACAGTCAAGTTTTTCAATGCCATGCCTAATAAATCAAATTGTCAGTATTGACCAAAAATGGGGCCAGTAGAAGACTCCGGAACCGCCTTTGGTGCGTCCAAGCCTTAAAGGAAACAAGATCGGAGATCATAGACTCACCGTCCACTTGTTCTTTCTGCTCGGGATTGCTTGAGAATAAGCCCTCCTTGAACATGTCCAAGCTAGCAACCGCCAGACCCTCGCTCCTACGATAAACTTTGCCATTATCCTTCGACTTATATTGCCACTTTGTCCCGGCGCCGGCATCGAGCAGGACAGAAACCAAGAACAAATCAATAAGCCTCCTAGTTTGCTCCGCGGGGTCAGAAGGCCAGGATTGCATCATTACGTCAATGCGAGGGCGACCGCCGACTTCAAAATGCTGCCACCGACCGTGAGGAGGAATCGTGTGATAATCGGGAGCATAGTCTCTCTAATACCAGGTCAAGTGGAATCGTTAGCTATCAAGTACCGTCTAAAAACAATATTTGGGCTGTGAACGCGAAAAGTGAAATGGAGGAGAAAAAAAATAGAAAAATGGTGGCCTCGTACCTTTATTATGGAGACGACGTATTCGGCAACATCCTTAAACTTGGTCATGTCAACAGTGAAGTTGGTGAGCTGATTTCTTAGTGCTGCCTCGATAACAAACTTGGAACGCTCTCTAACGGCATAAATGCTTCTGAGATAACCGGAGGGATCTAATCCTGGATCTGGCGCAGGTGCTAGTTCAATGGATGGAATGGAAGGCAAAGCTGGTGAAGTGTTTCCAGAGGAAGAGGATCTGCCTTGTTTACCGGTAAAAGGAGGTTTGGGAGTGCTCGCAAGGGAGGTTTGAGAACCCTTACGATTCGACTTGCAAGTGCTCTCTGAAGTGACAGAATTTGCCCTAGAGCTCGATTTTTTGGAAAATATACCCATGACCCCGAGAAATCAATTGGCGACGGGAATAAGAATTCGGAAAAGTGCAGGCCGATACGAGCTGAGGAAAGGTGAAGATAAAGGAGGGGGTGATGAAGGACTCTCTAGGGAGGGAGAACGATGTGTGTCTGTGGATGGAGAGCGCGCAGAGTGGGAGAGGAAGGGAGCGAGCAGCAGCGGACCAAAGAAAACGGGTCAAAGTGCAGGGTGACAGGGTAGGGGTTCAGGGGATACGCTGCAAACAACCCACGGATGCGCGGGGCGCTGGGAGCACAGAAGATCTTCCGGCAGAGCAGAACTGGGTTGACAGGAGCAACCTGCGCCCGTTTTGCAATACTTGTCACAAAACAACAACAATCGCGCTACGAGTAATCCTGTTGCGCCGCTCCTTTTACGCGATGAATGTACCAGTACTCGATTAGGATACTCTCCCTGCCACAGGTAAAATATCAGCAGAGCGCTCCACTAGATATATCTCTTCGCGATATTGCGAGAGTACAGTATTCTCAATATTAGCTGATGTGATCAAAGGAATAGTGAATTACACGGGCCAAGACAGCAACAACGAGAATGCTAACAATAACACAGTGCCAAGCTTTCGGCAGATTGTGTACCAGTGCTTGGATGCTTATTAGGGAGACGAGACCAAGGTGGTATCGGAGAAAAACAAGATATTTTGGGGGGTGTGTAGTCCAAACTAGTAGAGGTGTAAACTGTTACAATAGAAACCTAGATGAGATCGCCCAAAACCTGTGAAAAGAAACTGCCGCCCTGGAAAGCAGGTAGATCCGTGAACTTTGGAACCAGGTTTACCAAGCCCACCCCAGGACATTTTGACAATTAACCTTGAAAAGATTTCTATGATGACATTACTGTCATGTCTAGTTCATTACTGATTTCATGATCTACGGCACCACCATAACGCTCTGAGAAATCTATCATATCAGAGGAGTAGAATTGGGTAGATTGAGTACTATTTGATCAAGTCTTAGTAACAGATCCAAACGACTGTGAGAGAGGAACTTCAACGTAAATTGAAAAGTAGTTTAAGAAATTAAACTAGCATAAAATTTATAACTATATCGAAGAAGTAAAATTCCGGTAACATATTGGTAAGAAAGAACCGAATCCATAGAAATCTGTAATGTGAATTGCTAGATAGAATAATAGCCAATGGATTAAGTACTAGTATAGTATATATAAAGTCACAAACAGGTTTGTGATAAGGCAGAATAACAAGAAGGAACAATGTTTTTACACGACTTGTAGATATGGGTTATAGAGATTTAGTGTTTAGTGTTAATGTAAGGAGTTATGATTGTGAGTTTTAGGATGTTATAACTTTCCCACATGACTTACAAGTATTGTGATACTTATGATTGGTTTAGGTATGTTGTATAGTTAACTTGTAGGGTTCAACAGAGGTTGATTTAACATGACTCACATCTCTAAGTCATAGGATAGGGTGACAGAGAAGTATGAGTCATAAAAGTATTAGGGTTTGGTGAGATGTCTTGAAAAGGTAGGTGCAGGTACCTTCTGCACAGGCCACACTTCGTTGCTCCTATTTTCTTCCCACATAGTCTGACAACATCTCTGTCAATAATCATGGGCCATTTACACTCCCCTCTGCCTCCTTAATAGTTTCTGCCTAGGGGTATGGTTTCTCTTCTCCAGTCTCACCAGTCCTAGCCTAGTTTGTTCTTTATCCACTAGATTAGAGAGTTATAAAGCTATGACTAGTTATCCTGTCTTGCTTAGAGGGCTTGATTAGCATAGGCACTATTGGCGTCCTCTTTTCACCTGTGGTCGGCACTGGCAGTAGTAGACCTCTTTCATCCCTCTTTGTATGGTCACTGTTAGGGAATACCTCAGCTAGTAACTTTATAGTCTGTCTTGAAGTGAGATTTGACCATACCTTCCTAGTCACTCAATTCAAGTTAGAGTGGTTTTCTTCTCCTCTGTCTTCCAAATTCTTATTGCTAGTAGGATCTCTTCTATTAAGTGATACAATATTACACAAATGAAGGTACTACATAAGAGATGCTGTAATGGAGCAATGGTTCAGGTTCTACTGTCAGGTTTACTCAAAGGTCTTCGGTCCTCCCTGAATATTCTTAGTTTGACAGTATCGCCTTACATCCACTGCCTCACCTCCGTTGGCTGGTACTCTACTACTTCATTCTACAATATAAGATTTTAGGGTTTCAGCCTGCTACTGACCTGTTGTCATTTGTGGACTGGTATGCAACATTGACATAGCATCCCGGCTGCCAAACATCCATTCCTTGAGCTTCATGTGGAGGCCCTCTTACTCTGAGCTGGTGGGTAATGGTATTGGACTACCTCCATAGCTCAGGTAGTCAAGTGTATCAGCTTACGATTTTTTGGATAGCTACCTACTTATGAGGTGGTTTTATATATGGCAATCAGGCAGATAGGTGGGCTGAGGTTTACTTTCTTTTCCAGTTTTGTATTTTAAGGGTAGAGCTTTTCCTACCTAGCCTGTTTGGTTTCTATTCAGATAGGTACATGTAGTTAGTTGGAGAGCTTGGTTTCAGGTGAGGAGTCTTCTTAGGTATGTGGTTGGCTTCTAGGTTTGACACCTGTATGTTCAAGTCATTAGGTCAGAGGACCTGGCACCTGAGTTGATCACCCTTAGAGTGTATGCCGTTGGGCCCATACCAGAGGGTCTTGGAAGTACAGGTTCCTCATAATCTGAGAAGGATATGCTGGTGTTTATACTATAGCTAGCACTGCATGTGGTTTTCTTCTATATTAACAATGAATAATATAATGATAAAAAAAAAAAAAAAAAAGACCTTGAAAGTAGGCATCCTTCATGGCTGTCATTTTCCTCCTACCAAGTTTAACCATACCACAGTCAACTGTCATGGGCCATCCACCTTGGCCACTCCCCGCTTAGTGGTTCCTGCTGTAATGAGGGCTCGCACTCTGGAAAGATGGATCACAAGGTTGTGACCGTACAGAGATGAATTCTTCTGCACATTTGAACAAATATATTAAATTTCAGGGTCTCAAAGGTAGAGTTTGTAGAAATAAAGGAGTAAAACTTATCATCATCAAGTAAGAGTGTTAATCAATTAAGTCCTGATCTCGAGAGGTACTTGATTGCTAAAGTAGAGGAGAAGTCGCTTATACTTAAGTAGATTTCATATACTACCAGTTGCTCCCTATCACTATTCTGCATTGTCAAGTACCCAACTCCCTTGGACTGTCGTGCCAACCTCCACATATCAGGCTAAAGATTCTCTGTAGCAAACTAGACTACTCTGTGGTTTACTAAGATCTACCCGACTGAAGTGTTTTAGCCACTGCATCTACAATGTAACTGCATGTTACGAATGTGGCTTAGGAAGAAAAGGGTTTCCATGTGACGCATAGTTATGAGTCACAGGTACGTTGTTGTTTCACACATAGGACTCATTATGGTCATATGATTTGTTATGTGTGGGATTTGTGATGCTTTCGCACATGGCTCAAGTATGAGTCATGGGACATGCGCCTAACAAGTATGCCTTGCGAGTATGCCTTGCGGGTAAGCCTTGCGCATATGATTTATGTTTTACACATGACCTCATTATGAGGTCATGGGTTTGGCGCATATGACTCAGTCGAGTCATATGACTTGTTTATTGTGTTATGATTGGTTTATGGGTTTTTGTACATGACCTCGCTATAAGGTCATGGGTTTTGAGCATGTGATCACTTTGGTCACATGATTAGTTTGTTCTGATTTGGTTTCGCACATGTGACCACTTTAGGTCACATGACTACAGGCGGGAAGAATACTATATAAGGAGACCGATGCGGCCGAGGAAGATAGGTTCTTCACACGTTGTTCTAAGTACTTTTCCTCGTCCTTGCCGTCGCTTCGCCCCGAGCATTTCTTTCGCCATCATGATAGGCCTTGATGCCTTGGATTCTGGGGGAGATATCTGAGTTCGCTCAGTAGTTCCTGGGGTCTTTGGTGTTGAGGTCGGTTAGGCGTTGTGTGGCGGATAACTTGTTTGCGTCTCGTTTCGTTGGACTGGTTATCTTCACGATACTAGCACTTCGAGCACTCATCACGGTCGCTTCCAAGCCCCTTTCGGTAAAATGTCTACGGCTTCCTGTCTATAGTCTACTCGCAGGTTTCGCGTTCGATTGGGGGGATTGAACATTGTGTTTGGGGGGATCACCCGTGTCGTTCTTTGGGCCAGCTCATGTCTTTGTTGGGTTTTAACAGAGTCCTTAGTTCACGCGATACAAAACGCCCTTGGGTTAGACTGATGACCTTCCCAAGTATCAACTCGTTGTACCGGCCGCATCATTTCCTCAAGGGAGGGGGCCTCGCCGGCCCCTCCCTGCCTCGTTACTTTATGTTTCTACTGTCGGAATCCTACGATGTTGTTTATCACCGTTCCCTTGGAAGTTTTGTCCTTGCGGCATATACGGTGGTTCAGTCAGGTGTCACCTCCTAGCTACGGTGGGGATGGCTTTGACCCTGAAAAACCTTACCCCCTGGAGTGGTTTTTCTTTGCTGCCTGGGGTGGTGTGGGACGATTGGCTGCCAGGCACTCGCGTTGTCTGTGCGTCTGGGTGGTTCAGTTGTGGTCTGTGGTTGGTGGCTTCACCCATTGCAAGTGGGGCCTACCTTCCATTTGTCTGCTTCTGTTCGTTCGCCCTTCCCGTTCGTGTCGCGTCAGTTGAGGATGCCTCTTGCCCGTTGTTCGGTCCGTACCTGTTGCCGGACCTGTGGGGCTGGCTTTGGCTGGCTCTGCTTACTCTTTCCCAACTCAGTTGGATTTCGGTTCGGCTGGGTTGGATGGTGTGGCTGGTGCCGGCGCCTTCCGGTGTTGGTGCTGCCTCCTTTGTTGCTCCCGGCTGTGGCTGGTGGGCTCCCCTCGGCTATATGGTGCTGGGGGTTGGGGCTCTGTTCGTGTGGCCAAGATCAATGGCTGCCTGGCAGGGCTGGGTATAAGCTGTCCTATGGCCGTCAGATGGTTAATCTGTCTCAGGGGCTGGGGGGGCTGGATGGGCTCTGTGGCATCTGGTGTGTGGGGCTTGGGCGGGGCTGATTGGGGGGGGAGAGGCACCTGCGAGCACCGGTCGGGCATGTGTCAGGTTGGGCGATG